TCACCAGCAAAGCACCCCCACACCATAACACCTCCTCCTCCATGCTTTACGGTGGGAAATACACATGCGGAGATAATCCGTTCACCCACACCGCATCTCACAAATACTTGGCGGTTGGAGCCAAAAATCTCAAATTTGAACACCAGACCAAAGGACAAATGTCCACTGGTCTAATGTCCATTGCTCGTGTTTCTTGGCCCAAGCAAGTCTCTTCTTCTTATTGGTGTCCTTTAGTAGAGATTTCTTTGCAGCAATTCGACCATGAAAGCCTGATTCACACAGTCTCCTCTGAACAGTTGATGTTGAGATGTGTCTGTTACTTGAACTCTGTGAAGCATTTATTTGGGCTGCAATTTCTGAGGCTGGTAACTCTAATGAAGTTATCCTCTGCAGCAGAGGTAACTCTGGGTCTTTCATTCCTGTGGTGGTACTCATGAGAGCCAGTTTCATCATAGCACTTGATGGTTTTTGCGACTGCACTTTCAAAGTTCTAGACATTTTCCGTATTGACTGACCTTCATGTCTTAAAGTAATGATGGACTGTCATTTCTCTTTGCTTATTTGAGCTGTTCTTACCATAATATGGACTTGGTCTTTTATCTTCTGTATACCCCCCCCCCCCCCCCCCCCCCCCCCCCCCCCCCGCCCCCCCCCTACCTTGACACAACACAACTGATTGTCTCAATCGCATTAAGAGGGAAAGAAATTCCACAAATTAACTTTTAAGAAGGCACACCTGTTAATTGAAATGCATTCCAGGTGACTACCTCATGATGCTGGTTGAGAGAATGCCAAGAGTGTGCAAAGCTGTCATCAAGGCAAAGGGTGGCTATTTGAATAATCTCAAATATAAAATATATTTAGATTTTTTTAACAGTTTTTTGGTTAGTACATGATTCCATATGTGGTATTTCATAGTTTTGATGTCTTCACTATTATTCTACAATGTAGAAAATATTAATAATAAAGAAAAACCCTTGAATGAGTAGGTGTTCTAAAACTTTTGACCGGTAGTGTACAGTGGTAGCAATACATGGTTATAACATCTACAGAAAATACAGAAATGCCAAAGGTGGACGTGTTGCCGTTTATATTCAGAATCACATTCCTGTAAAGCTTAGAGAGGATCTCATGTTAAATACTGTTTAAGTAATATGGCGACAGGTTAATCTGCCTCACCTAAAGCCCATTCTGGTAGGAAGCTGTTTTAGACCACCAAGTGCTAACAGCCAGTAAGTATCTGGAATGTATGTGATATCAACAGAGAGGTATATTTTCTGGCTGATTTAAATATTGACTGGCTTTCATCAGGCTGCCCACTCAAGAGAAAGCTTCAAACTGTAACTAGTGCCTGCAACCTGGTTCAGGTTATCAGTCAACCTACCAGGGTAGTTACAATCATCAACATGTATTGATCACAGTTTTACTAATGCTGCAGAAATTTGCTTTAAAGCAGTATCCAAATCCATTGAATGTAGTGATCACAATAGAGTAGCTATATATATATATATCTATATCTATATATCATATATACCATATCTAGGAAAACCAAAGTTCCAAAGGCTGGGCCTAATAAGTGTATAAGGTCATAAAATACGTTTTGTAGTGATTCCTATGTTGTTGATGTAAAGAATATTTGTTGTTTCCGTGGTGTGTCACGAAGAGCAACCAGACGCTGCACTTGACACATTTATGAAATTGCTTATCCCAGTCACTAATAAGCATGCACCCATGAAGAAAATGAATGTAAAAATGGTTAAATCCCCGTGGATTGATGAGGAATTTTTATGGTTAAGTGGGATGAGGCAAAAGGAATGGCAAATAAGTCTGGCTGCACAACCGATTGGCAAACGTACTGCAAATGTAGAAATCATGTGACTAAACTGAATAAAAGGAAAAAGAAACTACACTATGAAACAAAGATAAATGATATAAAGAATGATAGTAAAAAGCTTTGGAGCACTTTGACAAACACAGCTCCATCATTCATTGAATCAGATGGCAAGATTAGCAAATTTAGGCATGACATGCCAGCAACAAACACTGACACTACACATCCAAGTATACAGTGCATTCGGGAAAAGTATTCAGACCCCTTGACTTTTTCCACATTTTGTTAAGTTACAGCCTTATTCTAAAATGGATTAAATTGTTTTTTATCTACACATACAGTGCCTTGCTAAAGTATTAATCCCCCTTGGTGTTTTTCCTATTTTGTTGCATTACAATACTTTCGCAAGCCACTGTAATACCCCATAATGACAAAGCAAAAACAGGCTTTTAGACATTTCTGCAAATGTATTAAAAATGAAAAATTGAAATATACAATTTACATAAGTATTCAGACCCTTTACTCAGTACTTTGTTGAAGCACCTTTTGCAGCGATTACAGCATCAAGTGTTATTGGGTATGACACTACAAACATGGCACACCTGTATTTGGGGAGTTTCTCCCATTCTTCTCTGCAGATCCTCTCAAGCTCTGTCAGGTTGTATGGGGAGTGTTGCTGCACAGCTACTATCAGGTCTCTCCAGAGATGTTTGATCGGGTTCAAGTCCGGACTCTGGCTTGGCCACTCAAGGACATTCAGAAACTTGTCCTGAAGCCACTCCTTCGTTGTCTTGGCTGTGTGCTTAGGGTTGCTGGCCTGTTGGAATGTGAACCTTCGCCCCAGGCTGAAGTCCTGTTGGAAGGTGAACCTTCGCCCCGGTCTAAGGTCCTGAGCGCTCTGGAGCAGGTTTTCATCAAGGATCTCTCTGTACTTTGCTCTGTTCATCTTTGCCTCGATCCTGACTAATCTCCCAGTCCTTGCCGCCGTCAAACATCCCCACAGTATGATGCTGCCACCACCACCGTAGGGATGGTGCCAGGTTTCCTCCAGACGTGACGCTTGGCATTCAGGACAAAGAGTTCAATCTTGGTTTCATCTGACCAGAGAATCTTGTTTCTCATGGTCTGAGTCCTTTAGGTGCCTTTTGGCAAACTCCAAGCGGGCTGTCATGTGCCTTTTACTGAGGAGTGGGTTCCGTCTGGCCACTGTACCATAAATGTCTGATTGGTGGAGTGCTGCAGAGATGGTTGTCCTTCTGGAAGGTTTTCCCATTTCCACAGAGGAACTCTGGAGCTCTGTCAGAGTGACTATCGGCACAGGTGGACTCCAATCAAGTTGTCTGAAACATCTCAAGGATGATCAATGGAAACAGGATGCACCTGAGCTCAATTTCAAGTCTCATAGCAAAGGGTCTGAATACTTATAAGGTAGTTCTGTTTTTTATTTTGAATGTGTGCAAACATTTCTAAAAACCTGTTTTCACTTTGTCATTCTGGGGTATTGTGTGTAACGTGACAAAATGTGGAAAAAGTAAAGGGGTCTGAATACTTTCCGAATGCACTGTATCTGACCAATTTATGAAAGACAAGCATTGTAATTTTGAATTCCGTAAAGTGAGTGTGGACGACGTGAATAAATTATTGTTGTTTATCAACAATGACAAGCCACCGGTGTCTGACAACTTGGATGGAAAATTACTGAGGATAATAGCAGACGATATTGCCACTCCTATTTGCCATATCTTCAATTTAAGCCTACTAGAAAGTGTGTGCCGTCAGGCCTGGAGGGAAGCAAAAGTTATTCCGCTATATAAGAATAGTAAAGCCCCCTTTACTGGCTCAAATAGCCGACCAATTAGCCTGTTACCTACCCTTAGTAATCTTTTGGAAAACATTTTGTTTGACCAGATACAATGCTATTTTACAGTAAACAAATTGACAACAGACTTTCAGCACGCTTATAGGGAAGGACATTCAACAGGCACAACCCTTACACAAATGGCTGATGATTAGCTGAGAGAAATTGATGATAAAAATATTGTAGAGTCTGTTTTATTAGACTTCAGTGCATCTTTTGACATTATCGATCATAATTTGCTGCTGGAAAAACATATGTGTTATGGCTTTACACCCCCTGCCATATTGTGGATAAAGAGTTACCTGTCTAACAGAACACAGAGGGTGTTCTTTAATAGAAAACCTCTCCAACATAATCCAGGTAGAATCAGGAAACCCCCAGGGCAGCTGTCTAGGCCCCTTACCTTTTTCAATCTTTACTAACGACATGCCACTGGCTTTGAGTAAAGCCAGTGTGTCTATGTATGCGGATGACTCGACACTATACACGTCAGCTACTACAGCGACTGAAATGACTGCAACACTTAACAAAGAGCTGCAGTTAGTTTCAGAATGGGTGGCAAGGAATAAGTTAGTTCTAAATATTTCAAAAACTAAAAGCATTGTATTTGGGACAAATCATTCACTAAACCCTAAACCTCAACTAAATATTGTAATGAATAATGGGGAAATTAAGCAAGTTGAGGTCACTAAACTGCTTGGAGTAACCCTGGATTGTCAACTGTCATGGTCAAAACATATTGATACAACAGTAGCTAAGATGGGGAGAAGTCGGTCCATAATAAAGCGCTGCTCTGCCTTCTTAACAGCACTATCAACAAGGCAGGTCCTACAGTTCCTAGTTTTGATGCACCTGGACTACTGTTCAGTTGGATTTAGGAATATCGCAATTGGCTCAGAACAGGGCAGCACTCATGCTGCTCATGCAAGCCGTAAAATATGATTTAAAAAACAGATAAAAATACACCTTATGCAACAGCAGGGACTGTGAAGAGACACAAACACAGGAACAGACATGCACACACACACACGATAACATACGCACTATACACACACGTACACGTGGATTTTGTGTTGTAGATATGTGGTAGTACAGTAGTGGCCTAAGGGCACACACATAATGTGTTGTGAAATCTGTTGTGAATGTATTGTAATGTTTAAAAAATGGTATAACTGCCTTAACTTTGCTGGACCCAAGGAAGAGTAGCTGCTGCCATGGCTGCAGCTAATGGGGATCCAAAATAAATACAAATACTGTGCTTAATGAACTTCCCAACAAACCCAGAGCTACACAGCTCATTGGTTTAACTCAATGCTAACAGCATGTCCCTATGTCTTACAGATCTGTGATAAGGAGTGGCACTACTACGTGATCAATGTGGAGTTCCCTGCTGTGATGCTCTTCGTAGATGGCGTGATCTATGAACCCTACCTGGTGACCGACGATTGGCCCATCCATCCCTCGTCAATTGACACCCAGCTGACAGTGGGTGCCTGCTGGCAAGGTCATTATAGACTCCTGTATAGGGTCCGGTGTCCATACCAACTCTTTGTGACTCTGAGGCTGTCCTAATATCCCAGAAACACCTGCTTATTGGTTTCGATTGAATAGGACTTTAGATTGTCACACAGTCCAGGAAAGTGATGAAACACTCCCGAATTTAAGACTAAGAATGCTTGTGTGTGTGTGTGTGTGTGTGTGTGTGTGTGAGAGAGAGGAATAGAGAGAGGAGAGAGATAGATAGAGAGATAGAGCGCGATGAGACGAGCTAGTCGAGCGCGATAGATAGCGCTAGCATAGATATGATAGATAGAGAGAGCAGAGCGCGCGCGCGCTCGCTGCGCTCTCTCTCCTCCTCTCTCTCTCTCTCGCTCGTCTCTACTCTCTATCCTCTTTCTCTCTATAGAGAGGCTCAAGCTTGGAAACAGGAAACAGGCTGTCAATTCCAGCCGCTTGAAAAGAGGAGACTAATGAATCCATTTGAATGAAGAAGCACTACTTAACATCGCTTTTATGATCAAGATAATATTTAAATAAATGTGTTTGCTGGGGGAGAGATGGATACAGCTAAATGGCATGAGCCCAGCTCGAGGTCCAACGTCAACGGCATTTCGGTGTCATTTGAATTTATTTTCATCTGGCTCCTGATGGCAGTTCTCTTTTTTTCTCTTTTCCCTCTCTCTTTCCATGAATCTGTGATTGTGTGAGAAAGCCCTGAAGAAGGGATTAAGCCAGCCTGAATAGAGTACAACTTCTCTGGCTATTACATCCCAATGAAGCTGCTCTAAGCTTCACTAAGCCGCAACTGATAACTTTGCAGACCATTACTGAACAGGATTGCCTTTCTCTAATTTCAACCCCCCCCCCCCCCCCCCCCCCCCCCCCCCGCCAACCACCCTGAACCATAGAACGTAATGAAGATAATGAAGAGACACAAGGAATGACAGGCCCCAGACCTGATCTTAGCTCACCCAAAGCAAAACAAGATGTGTGACTTGTGACTAGAGCAACAGAAAATGGTTTGTTTTGTCCGTTTTCTTTGGGAAACCATTTATTGAAATTGCTTTGAACGTTGCTCTTCTTATGCAAAGTAGACAAACAATTTTGCTGTGTAATGTAACTACTAGGGAAGTTTAGGGCAGACCAACTCTGGCTGGCCTTAGGCCTACTGCAATAGGAGCCTCTACTTAACCATAAACAAAATCCTGAACCTACTCTAATTTCCTAATACAGCAAGTTCAAACAATCCATTTGAACTTAATTGCTATCTTTCTCACTGCAGGTGTAAATATTATGCAGCCAGGTGTGAAAAAATAGCATATGCTAGCACTGAAGCCTACATACTGAATGTCTTCTTGTTCAAATTCTCCTCTTTGGGGGGATGAGACCGAAATAAGCCGAAAACACAATCTCGCTCTGCGCTTTGGTGCCACAACACTTAATTGATAACATCTGTCTGGGAAAATATAAAATTGTAAAAAATCAGGCTGGTGCAGGCGGCGGCGAGAACACTTGAGTATGTCAGCGTGAGACACAGCTCTGGGACCGTTAACGACTAGCAAACTGCCAGCACCATCTGCCAGTGGATCAAAGAAGAAAAACGCACACTTATCTAAAAAAGACAACGTCGTTTTTTTATTGAAGGTCTCGTGTCGCTCTGCTCTGAGCCCAAATCAAGTCACTTTAAAAATAGTGGGGAGAGCAGATGGAAGCTGGTATCAAAACTGGCTAGCATTTCCATAGTCACGCTACAGTCTTTATTTCACAGTCCTGTTTCAGTTGGTATTTACCTGATGTTTAGGCCTACTAGGAAGTGATGCGGTAACAAAGGTAACTCTGTGTTAGCCTTTGTTTATATAGGTTAGTCATGTTGAAAGGTAAGTTTTATATAGGTTAATCTCTTTTATTATAGTGTTATTTCTAACTTCAACTAAGTAAATAAAGTAAAAGACTAAGAATGACTAAAGCATGTTCCTACTATTATAATAGAGGGATGCTCCATATTGCTTTCACCTGCACTGTGCTTTCAGATCAGAGCAGATTAAGGAGAGGACAAGCATTGTCCACCACTTGACTGTACAATATTGAGATGCACCTTTGAACTGAAAAAACCCCAGGATGTCTTCTCCTCCCTAGGTGGTGAGGTGTCCACCCCGCGGTTCACCCAGTACTTCCGGGGCAGTCTATCAGGTCTGACCATCCGGCCAGGCAAGATAGAGACCCAGAAGGTCATCTCCTGTCTACAGGCCTGTAAGGAAGGACTGGACATCAACTCACTGGAGAGCCTGGGCAAGGATATCAAGGTGACAGCTCTTGGGAAAGACACTGGGGCAAACACACACAGATACACTATATATACAGAAGTATGTGGACACCCCTTCAAATTAGTGGTATTTCAGCTACACCCGTTGCTAACAGGTATATAAAATCGAGCATACCGCCATGCAATCTCCATAGACAAACATTGGCAGTAGAATGGCCTTACTGAAAAGCTCAGTGACTTTCAATGTGGCACCGTCATAGGATGCCACCTTTCCAACAAGTCAGTTTGTCAAATTTCTGGCCTGCTAGAGCTGCCCCAGTCAACTGTAAGTGCTGTTATTGTGAAGTGGAAACATCTAGGGCTGTAGCGGTCATGAAATGTTGTCAGCCAGTGATGGTCAAGTAAATAACTGCCGGTCTCACGGTAATTTACCGTCAATTATCATAAACACGTTTAGCATCTCCTGGCTTCAATGCACAGCCTACAAGCCACTGATGCAGACCTTTGGAACATATACATTTTTAAAAGTCTAATAAATCCATTTAATATAGCCTACACCATAACAATAAATCCATTATTTATTTTAGACAGGTCTTGATATGAAGAAAATTTAAAAAACAAAGAAACTGTCTCAAAGTCGCAAGCTGCACACACTTCATCAGTCTCTCATTCACAATTTGACAAGAACTTGATAATATTCTCACCAGGCCTTGATTTTCCCGACGGCATCCCCCTTGTGTGGCCGTAATGCCCCCTAAAAAATCCATGCCTTTTGTGGCCGTTGTGCCCTTGGGCTGGATATAATAGGCTAATTATAATTCCCTTCACCCAGCTGCCATGCTCCGAAGCACCTCTCACATGTAGCCAATGCCCGTCACGTGATCGGGTCCTTCTCACAGGCATTTCAGCTACAAGTAGGCTACAAGTGAATGAAGACAGACACATCGGGGACACAACTGCACACGTCCCTCTTATCAAATTCCGAGGCGCATATTGAAGATGTTAGAACTGTCTACATTTAGCCTACCTTTCGATGAGTAGGCCTGACAAACAGCAAAAGCACTAGCCTATGTCAATCTACTATCCCCCATAGTACAAAAGTTGACCTATTCTGTTGGTCAACTTCTCCTTCTGTGCAATAAAAAAATATTCCAAACATACTCTGGGACAGTTGTGGGATGCGATAGATCCCAAATTAATACAACCACTTGCATCAGAAAACCTTTTAAAAGCAATGAGGCTGATCGTTTAGCTTAAAATGTTGATAAACTATTAGGCTATTTCTTCACACGGCAGTAGGCTATAAGCGCGAATGTTCCAAAATGCAATCAATTAGCGGGAAAACACTTTTCTCGAAAGTGACAGCAAACGTGATTATGCATGTAATGCTTAATTATAAAGGTGCATTTTTATGGTGAAAATGATCTTCCCCAAACATAAAATGTCACGCGCAGCGTATGTATGCCAGTTAGGCTCTACACCGGTTATAAAGCGGATTAATGTACTTAATTTTAAGAAGTTATTTGGCCACTTTAGTTGTGATACAAACCTTATCAAAACATAGAGGCCTATGGGCTAGGCGGGATACATGAGGTGTGCGACCATGATGTGAAAAAGTCGCCAAGAAAAGGTATGTGCAGTTTCTTGCCTTAATGCACAAGCTGGGCGATATTCACAAGTGATAATAAATCATTCACAAGTGATAGGCTAATATTGTCACCCATCAGACTATTCTTAATTTAATGTTGTCTTTACATATACTCAATAATATAAGTGTGATATTAGTTTTGATTTAGAATGGACCATTATAATGCACCTGTCTCGGAATAGGGGCATGGGGGGAAAAACAAGTAATCTATGAACTTAAATAGCGAATGGAGGACACTTTTCCCATGGTTCATTATCATGCCAGCCAGGTAGGCTACACTCCTGTTGTAAAGCGAAGCAATGTGCTTAATATTAGGAAAGTTGAGATAGAGATATAGTAGGCCTAGCCTATAGAAAGCTGACGGGATCCTCCTCTTTTTAATAGAGGCCATTAAAACTCTGTTTTCTCACGTAATTGCATAGCCTATAGAAATGTTGCGCAACATGAGCTCATGGGCTCACATGAAGTGTTTCATTAGATTTTCGATTACATTTTCATTGATGTCAGAGTGAACAATAGAGTGCTGAGTACCAGGAAGTTAGCAAGTTTGGTAGGCTACTAATGACCATCAGCAGCATCAGAGCTTGGAGAAGCCTAATTACCGTGACTAAACGGTCACGTGGAATTTGACTGCCGTCATGACTCATGACCGCCGGTAATACGGTCACTGTAACAGCCCTAGGAGCAACAACGGCTCAGCCTCAAAGTGGTAGGCCACACAAGCTCACAGAACGGGACCGCCATGTGCTGAAGCACATAGCGCGTTGCAACATTCACTACCGAGTTCCAAACTGCTTCTGGAAGCAACGTCAGCACAAGAACTGTTCATCGGGAGCTTCATGAAATGGGTTTCCGTGGCCGAACAGCCGCACACCAGCCTAAGATCTCCATGCGCAAATCCAAGCGTCGGCTGGAGTGGTGTAAAGCTCGCAGCCATTGGACTCTGGAGCAGTGGTAACGCGTTCTCTGGAGTGATGAATCACGCTTCACCATCTGGCAGTCCGATGGACGGTTTGGCAGATGCCAGGAGAATGCTACCTGCCCGAAGGCATATTGCCAACTGTCAAGTTTGGTGGAGGAGGAATAATGGTCTGGGGCTCTTTTTCAGCGTACAATTACATTCTAGATGATTCTTTGCTTCCAACTTTGTGACAACAGTTTGTGGAAGGCCCTTTCCTGTTTCAGCATGACAAAGCAAGGTCCATACAGAAATGGTTTGTCGAGATCGGTGTGGAAGAACTTGACTGGCCTGCCAGAGCCATGACCTCAAACCCATCGAACACCTTTGAGATGAATTGGAACGCCGACTGTGAGCCAGGCCTAATCGCCCAACATCAATGCCCGGCATAACAAATGCTCTTGTGGCTGAATGGAAGCAAGTCCCCGCAGAATGGAAGCAAGCCTTCCCAGAAGAGTGGATGCTGTTATAGCAGCAAAGGGGGGACCAACTCCATATTAATGCCCATGATTTTGGAATGAGATGTTCGACGAGCAGGTGTCCACATACTTTTGGTCATGTAGTGTATGCATGAAACACACACTTACCCTCTTGTATCAATTGATTCATGTGTTCTTCTGTGTGTGCAGTTTCACTTTAACCCGGCCCAGTCGGTGCTGGTGATGGAGGGAGAGGACCTGGAGAGTATCAACACAGCCATGACCAAGGTCTCCTACATCAACTCACGCCAGTTCCCCACAGCAGGCCTCAGACGGCTACACATCACCACCACCGTACAGTGAGTACAGACCCCAACAATGTGTATGCGCACGCACGCACACACACAATTAATCTGTCTCACATACACGTTCACATTCCTCAATCTCTCTCACTCTCACACATACAGAAACATGTATTGTACCCAGCCATACACTTAATCCCCTTTGAAATAGGTCACAGAGACACATACAAGTATCATTTGTGTACATGCATTTCACACAGTGGAGGCTCCTCAGAGGAGGAAGGGGAGGACCATCCTCCTCAGTGAATTTCATAAAAAATATAAATTGTGGAACATTCAAAAAGTGATCCTTTTTAAGGTGGCACAACCAGTTATTGAGTGTATTTTACGTAGTATTTCTTTTTCACTTTCACTTTCACTTAAAGATGCACTATATAGCAATCACTCCTCCATTTCCTTCTTACTAAATTTCTAATAGTTCACTTAATTTCAGTTTATGTGACAAAACAAGCAAGTATAGTGTAGAGAATCATTGTACCATCTAAACTGCTGTGAAATATATTTTCCATAACCAAAAATGTTGTATTTTCAGCTGTTTGGAGCTGGTGTACAAAACCGAAAGTAAAAGACGCAAAAACGAAATGTAAGAATGGGAAGCATAGAAATAGCACACATAGAACAGATCTACCGCTTCTTAGACTTGCTTTCAATGACAATGACAGATCTATAACACACATTTTTATGTGAACTTGGTCAGATCGCCCAAAAAGTTAAATATTGCAGCTAGTTTAGCCTACTCAAACACCTGGCTCAAACACCCTTCTCAAACAGAGAGGGGTGTTTTGTTTGCTAGCTGGCTATGGCTATCCAACTCTGTAACTCTTCCAAGTCAAGGTAAGCTTTTGGTTTTATAAATGTATTGCCACCGGGGGCCTGCCGGTGTAATTGCTAAACCACTTGCTGTACACTGTACTACAAGATTGTAGCAGATTTACTAACACGTTAGTTTTAGTAGCTATGCTGATTATGACGTTAACTAATATGTTGGCAACAATGTAGGCTGTGTGTAGCAGTTAGTGGTTATGGTATGAAGGTTTGGCTTGTAAAGGTTTTTTCGCCTGGTTACAGAATAGTGGGTAGATGTGAGAAGGAATTCTACAAAGAGCAAAGAGATCATGCTGTTTGTATGTGGCTGCTATGAAAGTGAACCGTGTTCGGGGTGATCAACAGTGTATTCATTCTGCCGATTCTGTTAAAACATACCTGAATTTGTCAAATATAAACTCGTTTGCAACTGTTTTCACTGGACAAATGATTACACCCTAGATCAGCTAGATGCAGGCAAGAGTGTGCAAGGCGGTATTGAATGTGTCACTGTCTGTCCTTCATTGCTACAATTTTTCTCTCTTCCTGTGCACCTACATTGTAAACTTTCATTCGTAGGGTAGGTTGTAGCAACCTCATGATGGGTATAGGGGAAATTCAAGTATCATACAGTTGAAATCGGAAGTTTACATACACTTAGGTTGGAGTCACCACTCCAAAAATGTCTAGTTAACAAACTATAGTTTTGGTAAGTCGGTTAGGACATCTACTTTGTGCATGACACAGTAATTTTTCCAACAATTGTTTACAGACAGATTATTTCACTTATAATTCACTGTATCACAATTCCAGTGGGTCAGAAGTTTACATACACTAAGTTGAGTGTGCCTTTAAACAGCTTGGAAAATTCCAGAAAATGATGTCATGGCTTTAGAAGCTTCTGATATGCTAATTGACATCATTTGAGTCAATTGGAGGTGTACCTGTGGATGTATTTCAAGGCCTACCTTCAAACTCAGTGCCTCTTTGCTTGACATCATGGGAAAATAAAAATAAATCAGCCAAGACCTCCACAAGTCTGGTTCATCCTTGGGAGCAATTTCCAAACGCCTGAAGGTACCACGTTCATCTGTACAGACAATAGTACGCAAGTATAAACACCATGGGACCACACAGCCGTCATAACGCGTTCTGTCTCCTAGAGATTAACGTACTTTGGTGCAAAAAGTGCAAATCAATCCCAGAACAACAGGACCTTGTGAAAATGCTGAAGGAAACAGGTACATAAGTATCTATATTCACAGTAAAACGAGTCCTATATTGACATAACCTGAAAGGCCGCTCAGCAAGGAAGAAGCCACTGCTCCAAAACCGCCATAAAAAAGCCAGACTACGGTTTGCAACTGCATATGGGGACAAAGATTGTACTTTTTGGAGAAATGTCCTCTGGTCTGATGAAACAAAAATATAACTGTTTGGCCATAATGACCATCGTTATGTTTGGAGGAAAAAGGGGCCTACTTGCAAGCCGAAGAACACCATCCCAACCGTGAAGCACGGGGGTGGCAGCATCATGCTGTGGGGGTGCTTTGCTGCAGGAGGGACTGGTGCACTTCACAAAATAGATGGCATCATGAGGAAGGAAAATTATGTGGATATATTGAGGCAACATCTCAAGACATCAGTCAGGAAGTTAAAGCTTGGTCGCAAATGGGTCTTCCAAATGGATAATGACCCCAAGCATACATCCAAAGTTGTGGCAAAATGGCTTAAAGACAACAAAGTCAAGGTATTGGAGTGGCAATCACAAAGCCCTGACCTCAATCCTATAGAACATTTGTGGGCAGAACTGAAAAAGCGTGTGCGAGCAAGGAGGCCTACAAACCTGACTCAGTTACACCAGCTCTGTCAGGAGGAATGGGCCAAGATTCACCCAACTTATTCTGGGAAGCTTGTGGAATGCTACCCAAAATGTTTGACCCAAGTTAAACAATTTAAAGGCAATGCTACAAAATACTAATTGAGTGTATGTAAACTTCTGACCCACTGGGAATGTGATGAAAGAAATAAAAGCTGAAATAAATCATTCTCTCTACTATTATTCTGACACTTCACATTCTTAAAATAAAGTGGTGATCCTAAATGATCTAAGACAGGGAATTTTACTAGGATTAAATGTCAGGAATTGTGAAAAACTGTATATCAACTGTATATTAGCCTAAACCTATCAATATTACACAGAAACAAAAACAGCAGAGGTAAACAAATGCTGCTATCTGGGGAAAGTGGGGAAAGAGAGAAGGGATTAAAGGGGAAAGTGTTTTGATGGAGTGACAGTGAGAGAAAATAGAGAATCTACTGAGTTAAAGGAACTTTGAACTGCATGTCCTCAGGTCAGTGTGTGTGTGTGTGTGCGCGCTTTACGGTGCATGGTGTGTGCACATCCGAGGCTCTGCTTTTGCTCTGTATGTGTCCTCAGGGTCAGTGTGTGTGTGTACGTCTGGCGTGGCCTCGAAATCAGTGTCTAGTGTGTTCCAGGCTCTGTGTGTGTGTGCCCGTCTCAGCCTGTCCTTTCTCCGTGTCTGATATGCTAATCAGAGTCGCTTCCCTCTCTTTATCTCTCCCCTCGTTAATGGCTGAGAGGACAGCCGAGTTGCCGTGGCGCCCCGGTTGCCGTGGAGCTGTGTTAGCCTGGGCCGACGTGGCAGTAGCTGAGGATGAGGAAATGAATGAGGCCATGAAAGGCAATCTGCTGTGTCAGGGTTTCTCACGCCAGAGAGCACTACGAGAGGGAAGGTTGATCATTAGAGGAATATAGCGCTGTTAAGACTGACTGGGTGGGTGACTGGCTGGCTAGTTTTCTGTCTACCTCTCGCTCACTATCCTTCTCTCTCTCTTTATCCTCTCTCTTTATTTCTCTCCTACTCCTCTAGTCACCATTTCAAGAACAAAGAATTGGATATTAGTACTTCTTGTTGGTGTGAGGGCACTTGGTTTAGAAAGGAAAACGTAACATCATACAGTATCTGTAACAGCTCATGTGTTTGCGCCATTACCTAATGGGAAAGATAAAGGAAGAAATGGTATGCTGAGAGTGTGCGGTCTTAAAGGAGTTAATGAAATGTATTGGTAAAGAAATACAGGCCCAAAACAAGAGAGGAAGTGAGAGTGGAAGAATGGAGAGAAAGAACGAGATTGATCGTGTGATTTTTATATTAGATTTATTTTACCCTTATTTTATCAGGTAAGTTGACTGAGAACACGTTCTCATTTACAGCAACGACCTGGGAAATAGTTACAGGGGAGAGGAGGAGGGATGAATGAGCCAATTGGAAGCTATAGGGGAATGAAATTAACTGCCAAACAAAGGTAGGCCCAAATAAGAATGAGAAAGGAAAGGATGGAGAGAAAAGGTGAAAAAGGTGTGTGTGTGTTCTGTTCACAGTTAAGCAGTAAGGGGGGTCGGCCAAATCAAAATGGACTTGTGTGATGGATAGTGGACTCCTGCCACAGGAGCTGTAATAGGTTTAGTCTAACTCAGGAGAACTCAGAGCACTGCCTTGTATAAAGAGAGATGGCCCATCCTATTAAGCAGGCACTTTAATGCTCCATACGACAAGAGGCCCTGGCTGCATCCCAAATGGCACCCTATTCTCTAGTTATTGGGCTCTGGTCAAAAGTAGTGTACTATGTAGGGAATATGGTGTCATTTGGGACGCAACCCCTTAATAGTGTTGCTGGTCAGATGGCATTTATTTAGCGAGAGCCTTAGTTTAGTGTGGGGCACGCTACACCTCACAAACTTTGTTTAGCAGTTATACTGATGTTGTTAGGGGTAATTGTTTGTGGAGTTACAGACGCATGCATGCATGCATGCACACACACACACATTTCCCTATCAGAGCCAGTTTGTTTGGTAGTTACGTAGCACAGCTAATCACACACAACACACACTCTTCCTAGCCATACAAATACAGACATCCCATTACAAGCCAGTCTGTTATGTAGTTAAGGAGAACAATGTGTCTTAATACGTGCTTCATTTAGGCCTAGTCTTAATGCAAGGAATTTCCAAGGGAAAGCAGCCCAAACAGACCACGAATGTGACACATTTATTTTTGCTAGTAAACCAGAAGCAGCAGACAGTTATCATATAAACAAAAGACCGTTCTTAATTACCGTGGGAACTTAAGTTAATGAATAAGTGAGTGAGTGAAGAGCACTTTTCACCAACCATTGAAAAGCGTAATTACTCAAGGCGTTAGGTGCCGGCGTTGGCATTAATCCTGAGAGACTTCACTCTGCTCCTCTCAAACTGTAATGAACCTGGACGATGGCCAGGTTGTTTTACCCAGACTGCCTGGGTGATAGGACAGCTCCTAGCTCTGGGTAGAAGGTGCCCTTAGGATCTACTGAACAAAAATATAAATGCAACATGCAACGATTTCAAAGATTTTACTGAGTTACAGTTCATATAAGGAAATCAGTCGATTGAAATAAATTCATTAGGACCTAATCTATGGATTTCACATGACTAGGCAGGGGCGCAGCCATGGGTGTGCCGGGGAGGACATAGGCCCACCCACTGGGGAACCAGGTCCAGCCATTCAGAATGAGTTTTTCCCCAAAAAGGGCTTTATTACAGACAGAAATACTCCTCAGTTTCATCAGCTGTCCGGTTGGCTGGTCTCAGACGATCCCGCAGGTGACGAAGCCGAATGTGGAGGTCCTCGGCTGGCGTGGTTAAACGTGCTCTGTGGTTGTGAGCCCGGTTGGACATAATGCCAAATTCTCCTAAACAACGTTGGAGGCGGCTTATGGTAGAGAAATTAACATTCAATTCTCTGGCAACAGCTCTGATGAACATTCCTGCAGTCAGCATGCCAATTGCACGCTCCCTCAAAATTTGAGACATCTGTGGCAATGTGTTGTGTGACAAAACTGCACATTTTAGAGTGGCATTTTATTGTCCCCAGCACACAAGGTGCACCTGTGTAAAGATCATGCTGTTTAATCAGCTTCTTTATATACCACACCTATCAGGTGGATGGATTATCTTGACAAAGGAGAAATGCTCACTAACAGGGATGTAAACAAATTTGTGCACAACATTTGAGAGAAACAAGCTTTTTGTGTGTGTTAAACATTTCAGTGATCTTTTATTTCAGCTCATGAAACATGGGACCAAGACTTTACATGTTGCGTTTATATTTTTGTTCAGTATATATCACAGATCTAGGATCAGCTTACCCTCCCCAAGTCGTAATCTGTTATGGATAACTGCAAAACTGATCTTAAATCGGTGTCTAGGGGCAACTTCGTCAGAGTTTCTGCTCTATAGTCTACTGCCTTCATCTTCAACAGTAGTTACTTTGAAAGGAGAGAATGGCCTGTCCAGAAACAAGTCCTTGCCCCTAATGCTTGGTTGTTGTTTCTACACTCTTATTCCACTTAGTCTCATAGAGTTACAAGCTTTGACCAAGAACTATTACATTGATTAGATTGAAAGTTATTTTTTCCATCAGTGAATGTAGTAATATCTCATTAAATGTTTCTTTGCTTGGGGTTACGCTTCATGTCAACCGTGGGCTGAGAAAGAGTTAAATTGTGTTGATGAGAAAATGTGATAATTAGTGTGTGTTTATATCATATCAGGCCATTTATAGGATAAACAGAGAGAGAGTGTGCCTGCGTGGGTGGGTGCATGTCCAAGAGTGTGTTATTGGAAATGGGCAACTTGGGGCCATCTGTCTGAAAACAGCATCACTCCCCAAAAAATCTGAAATGCTGCAGAGTCCTTTGCCAACAGAGACAACTTGCGATCACAATTGGACAAATATTGGAAGTCCACTATCATAATCTGTCCCTACAGTATCTGTCTAACATCTCTGAAATTAAAATGAAAAGTGCCCAGTCATTCATTGCTAGGACCAGAAAGAGTATGTACAGTAGTCTGTATTCTCTTGGGTGGAAGCACAAATTAATGGTGACACACAATGTAATCTATTCCATTTTCGATTCCAATATGATATCAGATGGTAGTGATGTTCCCCTAGTCTTTCTTACCCTGTTATTCCTTATCTGAAGGCCAATTATCTACAAAAACTCCCCTGGCCAGAACAATTATGACCTGAAGAAAAGAAAGTGCACTTTATGCATTATCTGTCAAGACATACGCTAATGTCTATCTCCATTTTCTTCTCCTTTTCCCCTCTTCTTCACCCTCCCTCTCTCCTGTTGTTTTTGGGTGCTCAGGTGTTTCGGGGAGGATACATGCATCTCCATCCCAGACATTAAGGCAGTAGTAATAGTCCTGCCACCAAGCGAGCCACGGATCACCATCACTGGTTCAGATCGACTCGTCAAGCCTTCCTCCGACCTGCGTGGAGCCATGGGCGTGGCACCCTTCAAGGAGCTGCGCATCACCAGCACTGTAACCAAGACCGACGGTGTGCCGTTCAGCGCAGGTGGGTGAGGTGGTTACCATGGATACGTGTTGATATAGCATGGCGTTGAAAAAGTGAGTGTGTGAGCATTCATGTCTGTGTTGGATTGTGTGTCTGTGTGTGTGTGTGCGTATAGTCCACAGGCCTGGTGTTCTGGAGGTTATGCACAACCTGGATTACTGTGATGTCCTGGTGATCGGAGAGGAGCTCAACCCAGAGCACGAGAGTCTGGAGATTCACCACAGCTCCCTAATGGGGAAACACCTGGACGCCACAAACTCCACCTCAGGCATCTCCATATATGGTATGCACTTCAATTTATGACGCATTATTCATATCACACTTTTCATACATAAACATAAATTCCTTGTTGTGTGTCACCTGCTTGGTAATGGTATGAGAAGCTCTAGAAGATATTAGAGCTGGGCCCAGCACTGAGCCCTGAGGGACACCATCTATATATGGCTGGAAACACCAGGGACACCTTTGATAATAATACCTTTTCCCCAGGTGTGGACTCCATGGCCCACTATGAGGAGGCCCTCAGGCAGGTGCGCTACAGGAACTGGCGCCCGGCGATCCTGACTAACAGGAGGTTCAGGCTCACCTGCTCCGAGCTCAACGGCCGCTACACCAGCAACGAGTTTAATCTGGAGGTCAGGGAAGAAACTTTACCTATCTTTCCTTTTCTATTTCACCCCTTTCACACTCACACTCTCTATTCTCCCATATCTCCAACACTGCCACTCCTCTGTCTTCCTGCCTCTTTCTACACCCCTCTCTCCATTTCTCTCACCCTTCACAACTCAGTCTCTCCTCCCATTTCTGCACCGTCACTTATCAACCAGACCCATTTACCCTTTATCTCACCGGTCTATCTTTCTCTAAATCATTATCATCTCCATACTGACTGATATGTTCTTTGTCCCGCCCCCAGGTTAGCGTCCTCCACAACTCAGCACCCATAGAGCATGTCAATCACATGGCTGTCCAATCCCAGTACATGCGGCCTGTGCATCATCCACTAATGGTGCACACTCTCAATTCCCACATCTCAGGTAAGGCACCCAGCAGCGTTCACCCACACATACCCACAACCACACACTCACACACACACGGTGAGGACATGGCCCTGCTACTATCAGAGGCTTGAGAGTGTGTTTTGTTGAACTGGAGGGGGATCCAGATTAGGCTAAACCAGGGATCATCAGCTAGATTCAGCCATGGGCCGATATTTTCTTGAGCGGATGGTCAGGGGGCCGGGACATAATTATAAATAATTAGTAGACTGCAAATTGACCACAAGAAGCCCAAACAATCATTTCAAACCTTGTGATCACAGATTATGTGTGTGAATACTTTGGAACAGATTTCCAAAATTAAAATAGCTTTTTTTGCTCTGAAAACTTGGGGAGCCAAGTAAAATCACCCGCAAGCTTAATTTGGCCTGCGGCCCGCCAGTTGTAGAACCCCAGGCTAAGCCTTCAGATTATACACACACAGACACACGCTGTCTCTCTCTCCCTCTCTCTGTGTCACACACACACACACACACACACACACACACACACACACACACACACACACACACACACACACACACACACACACAGGACTGAGTGATCTCCCAAAGGTAGGGAGGACACAGCAAATTTTGTAATTCAGGTGAACTTACCCTTTAAACACTCTTCTCCCCCACAGGCACCTCTCCAGCTGCCACGGTGGTGATAGTGATCTGTATCGCCGCCCTGGTGGTCATAGTGGTGCTGGGCATCTATAGGCTCCACAGTACCCACCAGGACGGCTCCAAGAGGGAGGAGGACGGGGCCAAGGACCCAGAGATGGACTGGGACAACTCCACCCTCACCATCACAGTCAACCCTATGGAGGTGAGAGAACATTATACAAAGGATGTCCCAAAGAAGGCAATGTCAACTATATCAACTCGATGGCACTTGAAATGATTTAATAGGTCTAGGTCTAGTTGAATGGCTAGGAGTTGATTTGTGGTTGGGGTTTTATTGCATGTATTGCGTTACATTTATTACATTGACACTGTTTTGGTATTAGATTTAGATTTTGGGTTTTGTAGCAAGGACATTATTTTTGTCCTTTAATAAGTAATATTATTCATGATCGCGTACAGCTAAGGCCAGATAGCACCTGCAGGGAGGTTTTCTGATCAACAGCTACATATTTGAAGAGTAATTCAGTGTTCCACTTTCTCCTGTCCTGTAGCATATCGGAGGGCCTCAGGCGGTGGAGGAGGAGGTAAGAGAGGAAGAGGAAGATGAGGATGATGAAGAGGACGATGAGCAGGCAGGCGACATGAGTGCAGAGTCAGGCGACAGTGATGAAACAGAGGAGGAAGAGGAGGAGGATGAGAGGGAAGTGAAGAAGGAGGGAAAGCAGAAGAGCAAGCTGGAATGGGATAGCTCTTCGATAACATATTGATCTCTCACACATATACACAAACCTACATATTATACAGAATCTGCTGAAAGTCAGTCACAATCAGTTGTTAAAACGGCACATTTTTAATGAAATGTTGCTCTCTTCTGGTCAAACTAAGGCATTACAACTAATGCCAGTGGAGCTGATTTCTCCGATTTTGGTATAACTAATCGTTCCTATTTAAGACTGCCATTGACAACACAATAGGGCCAATTTAAAACTTGCACAAGCACATTTCCACCTTATATCCAATGGCTCGTTCATCTGTTGAATTATTTCTGGGTTTGGACACAAAAAATTGGACACCACATTTTCCCCGTTATGTATCTCAATTGCTGTTGATACTAATACAAAAAGATATTGGAATGCGTTCATTGTAAATTGTATGTCCCCTCTTTAGCATTAATACAAATTGTTGCATTTCTTTGCAATTTTAATACTGTACTTTAAAGTAGTTTTTTTGCATTAGATTATGAGATGATATTTTATTAATTTTAAATCTTGGAAATGTTTATTTTAGGTCTTCTGAAAGACAGACTTACAAATTGTCATTAACAGAGGTATAAGAGGATGTATTTACAAAACAAATTTTGAACATTTTGATAGATTCTCCTTTTTTTTCTGTCTGCCTGGTTCTTTTTCTTGAACATATGAAAAAGAGAGAAAAGTTCCTGTATGTTTTTATAAATCCCTCGTGACGTGTATATAGCAGGTAGCATAGCTGAACTATAATTCACCTCGTCACCCATCTACCTTTCCTCAAACTGGATGTCCAAACTTGCTTGCATCAGGGGCATTTTGAGTAGTCAAGTTGCCCCTAACCACATATTCATCCTAACTTTAACCATTAGGAGGGAAAATGGACAACTGATCCTAGATTAGTACTTGAGGGTGACTTTAGCCCTCATGGTCAGCCTCTCTCTGTGTTTGCTGTTGACTTGTGTCCCTGCGTGCGTCCACCTACTTCTGAGGCTAAGATGAGGGTATGAGAATAGACACTTAAAGGGATAGTTCACCCCATAATCAAACTTTCATACATGAAATATTGTCTAAAGTCCATGCCATCTGTTGTTTAAATCACGCAATATGCACATGTAAGCGTCTGACAAACAAATTTGGGGGTAAACCATCCCTTTAGTCACCACCAGAAGGCAACATCAGTCAAAATTCCTATTCTTGGCTTGACAGGTTAGCATTTTCAGCCTGGGCACAGAGACAACTTGTCACATTGGGCGCGTTCAAGCGGATCACTTTTGTCAAGTCGGTGTGTTGGTCACCGCCTTTCAAAGTGTGTTGCATTGTGAGGATAAAAATTGTCTACATGTCGACTGCATGAACTTTACCAAAATCATGTGATCAAAGTTCATGAAGTTTTGACTGTAGTCGACTGCAAGTTTCTGCAGTTGCTCTTCACCAACTTCATCCTGCAGCAATCGCCTGCATTGTGGGAGACTCTATTGTCAACCAATCATTAGGGTGTTTTTGTTTAACCCACAAGAATGTGACTCAAGCATGATATATACAAATCAATGTAATATTTTAGGCTCCCTTCACTAATTGATTGTAGCCTACAATGTACACACCATTTGAGTGATATGGTGGTTGGAGATGTTTATTCGACATTATAAAGAAAAACCTTTATAAACAATGGCAACACTGCCATGTTGATCTGAGCTTTGCTGTTGGAAAACCACATTAGTGTCCGACTTTCGGCTGTCGCAGTTTCTCCTCCCGACTTTCGTCTACAGTCGGTTGCTTTAGCCTTACCACTCAAACTCGCCCATTCTCTTTGGGTACATCTCAATGGGCTAAAGCGGCTTCCTCTCCTTGTTTTCTTTCCTTCACCTGCCATCAAAAACAGGTAAGGTGAAAGCAAACTGGTGGGTGCCATTGCCTACCAGAATGTTGCTTTCACCTGCCCACTTCATGTCCAGACAGATTAAGGAAAGGAGTCAAAGAGACTATTGACTATTGAGATACACCCCTTATGTTTTTTCTATGACAGGCCACCTTTGTCAGAAATCCCACTGTAAAAAAACAGAAACTATTGATCCTCTCGCTCCTTCTCTGGTGGCCTATAACAGGTCTACTGTAGCTTAATCTAGCCAACTCCTTGTTTCTGACCCCTTGTATTTCCCAGAATGCCACTCTAAACTCTGCATCCGTTACATGTTTATGTCTGTAGCAGTGGTTTTCCCCCTGTCGGTCTTAACGCCTGTGGTTGTAATGTCATCATTGTGAGACGCGCGTCTACCATTGCCTTGTTTCACCCCATCTTTATACCATGGGAGTATCTCAATTGCACACTCCTCGTGTCCACTGTCCTCGCCTCCTTCTCAAAACCCATTGGACGAGAAAGCCAGAGGTCCCGCCCCTCTGACCTTCTCCTCCAATGGGTTTTGAGAAGGAGGCTAGAGAGAACGTGAGAAGTATGCAATTGAGATTCTCTATGTGTCAACTGTTTTGCATATAAACCCTTTAAAAACAGTTCAAGACAGTTCTTTTATATATGTTTATTTTCGTTTTGTTTTGTAAATGTTTGGGGTTTCTTTCTCTTTGGTGGTCACGGCAGCACTTTCTGTACATTGACCAATAAAGACTTGTTTTAGAATCTACAGCAAGTGTCTGTTCTCTCTATGTGTGTGAGGACAAGAATGTGTGATGTCCTGTCTGACTGCCTCATAGCCTAGTAGACCTAGAACTGTATAGGGAATTTGATAGGTGGCTACATTTTACATTAGGTGTGAGTGAATTCAGAGTTTGTGATTGTGAATACAAAATAAAAAAATACAATAGGCCTAAAAGCAAGATTATAACAATTGTTTAGTATGTGGGTCCATAACTGCACTTGATGGCCTCTTAAAATAATTGGCAGCGCTGGCAAAACACATTTTATGAGGATAGGATTCGCTCATCTTTGAACAACATAATTATAGAATGCTTTAAGATTAGGTCTACTTCTTCCTGCATGTGTCCATTAAATTTCCTTGCAAAGGTCAACGTTCTCCATCACCAATATGATGCCTCCATAGCCCCGTTTATACCTCGTTCTAACATGAGTCTTTTGTCGTGATCCGGTCCACATTCTGATTGTGCCCACATTTTTAGACAGGTGTAGATGATTGAAAGACGCATTGTGATCTGATTGTGATCAGATCTTCCTGACCACCTCCAGAGGTAGTCAGGGACTCATGGTATCTGGATATCAATCAAGTGTAAACAGATTTGGATGGTCAAACCATTTAAATCATAATTATACCGGTCTCTAAAATCATTGACAGGTAGCACCATTGACATGTTGCATCAATAATTGTCTTAAAATAAATAAATATTATTTTTAAAGAATATCTGTTAAATAATCTGTATACAGGGAGGCATCAGAAAATCTGGTTACAATGTGGACATAGTACAGTGTACGGATAAAGGCACATTTTACTATCATGTGTAGCTGCAACGGCTACAATGTGGGCACAATCAGAATGTGGATAAGATCAGTGCAAAGGCCGCATGTTAGCACCAGGTATAAATGAGGCTCATGAGTGTTTTTTTTTTTTACGTCACTAGCCCCGTTTATACCTGGTTCTAACATGCGTCCGTTGTCCTGCTCTTGTACACATTCTGATTGTTCCCGCATTTGTCGACAGGTGTAGACAATCAAAATATGCATTGTGATGGGCAGCAGGTAGCCTAGCGGTTAAGAGCAGTGGAACAGATGTAGCTCAGTTGGTAGAGCATGGCGTTTGCAACGCCAGGGTTGTGGGTTCGATTCCCACGGGGGGCCAGTATTAAAAAATAATGTATGCACTCACTAACTGTAAGTCGCTCTGGATAAGAGCGTCTGCTAAATGACTAAAATGTAAAAATGTTGCATTATTGATATAAATGATAATGGGATTGGGGTAGGGGAGAGAAAAACACATTGGATATTTATATATGGGCCCCATTCTGCATGGAGAGCTCCCAGCTCTGTTTTGTAAGCCGTGCGCTCATGATATGCTCTTATCTATTCAGTTGTGGGGGTTTGGAGTTGGACACGTGCTCTGCTGTATGATAGACAGTTTAGTTTCAGTAGTCGGGTCTCTCTCTATTCCTCTTTGTCCCTCTTCCCTCTCCCACAGGCTGAACGTGAGTTTCAAGTTTGGCGAAGCTAATTTTTACCATAAAATTCACCTTTATAATAAAGCATTCCACGCATCTATCATCGCATTTGCAGACTTATGTAAGCTAGCCTACTATTCCTAATGTGATAAGTAGATTGGATAGTCATAATTTAGGCTAATAATATAACTCAATCACTGTTTGCAAAAAAGACTGCAGTTTTCAATGCATGGCTGAGCACGTAGTCACGCGCTCAGCCATGCAGTGTCTTCTTTCATTTTGTGTTTATAAACACATTTCATGCAATTCTACTACACTTTATGACTGGAGACATTAGCATAATCTTTTTTTAAATGACAAAAATGACATGTTAGTATAGGCCTACAGGCTAATGCTGACTCTGACAAACAGATCAATAAAAACGACCTTGTCTGCAACCATCTAATGGTCCTGAAACCGTTTATTTTTTGTGCTCAGTTGTGTAATTATGCAGTAGCCTACAAAGAAATGTATGTGCTGTTCACAACAGGCTTTTTTTGCAGGCTTTTTTGCAAACAGCCATGAGTTAAATTAACTTAGGCAGCAGTGATACTGTTACCGAATCTTGTCCTATGCTTAGGCTTCTCATCCCATCAGGAATTGGATTTTATTGTTAGTCTGCATAGATGCATGTATACATGTATGCATCTAATGCTTTATTATTCAGCACCCCCTACTCAAAACAACCTCCCGCAGCTATGTCCCTCCCTGTATGCAAATGAATCCAACCTGCCTTATGGACCTCCCCTTATGACACAATCTGTATAAATTGATGTGTGTACAAAATACAACTATTGCATAGTATAAATAAGATGACAACCCCAAATGCGCACAGTAAAAACAGAAACAGGTTAAGTTACAGAGTAGGCTACAAAATGCATCTCCGAATGGTGCAACGCATTATCCAAACAGGTCTGGTCAAGGTTGTTCTTTATGCATGGATGTTTACATACGTTGCTTTATACTGTATTATTGTAATCTTGTATTGTAAATAACCTTTAGTATAGGCTTAAACCGTACCAAAGGGGAAAAAAGTGACATGCTGGGAGAAGTTTCCTCCAAATCACTGATCAATGATAATTTGCTAACTGAACCTCAATATGATAAGGGAGCGGTCGGAATGTACACAATTGTTACCCATGAGGGAAATTGGGGAGGGTAATGCTTTTTCAATTTCAGTCAGGGGGAGGGTCATGCAATTTGTAATAAATGAAATGCCATATTGCTCAGTGTTTGAGAATTAGTTGCTCAGTGTTTAAGAATTAG